AGCGCGTGGGCAGCGCTGGGGGGCCCCACCCCCTTCCTTGGCCCTAAAGACCATGAGGGCTTCCTGAGGGGCCCACGCCCTCCCCAAACTGGGTACTGTGTACTGGGCTATTCCCAGATCCGCAAGGCAAGGTCCCTGCACCCTCTTTGAATCCCTGAACCAAAGTTGCTGGCGCTGGCCGCAGACTCGGGTGTCCAGCGTCACCTGGCGTCGGCTCCCAGGCCACTGGCTGGGGGCCAGGTCCCTGAGGCCTTGCCCGTGCTCAGAACCCCCCCCCCTCCAGCTGGGGTGGCCAGGCTGAAAACCAAGCAGGGAGCTGGGCTGGCCGTGGGGCCGGGAGGCTCCTGCATGCCCCGCAGGGTGGAGCTGGGGCCAGAAAGTGGCCTTTAGGTTCCCTGAATTTCATAGCAGTGACCTTGCCACCCTCCACTGACCCCATTGGACACCTGGGACACACATGCACAGGCCGTAGTGGGGCACAGGCCACTGTAAGACCTACACAGTCACACCCACCCCAGGGCACTGGAAGTCTCCAAGTGCTTACTGTACTAGGTATGAGGTTCCTGGCTGCTCATGGGACCGGGAAGACCCTCAAGTGACCTATGGCCACACGTGGGTGACATTCACATCGCAGCCACTCGAGCCCATCCATGAAATAGACTCCAAACCTCATGGTCCTTCCACAAGGCTCTGTCACTGAAACATCTGGCCCTGACAAACACGGGAATACAGCTAATACCCACTGGGGCAAGGACAGTCCCTCCTCTGGGTGTCACAGGAGGCCACCCAGCCTGGGAGACATGTTGCCAGAGGCACTTGTGAACACACACAGATCTTCCCCTTGTTTTGCTTTTGTGAGGCCAAGCCTCAATCTATAGCCCAGCCAGTCCTTGAGTTGAGGCAACCCTCCTGCCTCAGCCTTCTGAGTGTGGGGAAGACAGGTGTGCGACAGCATGTCCACTCCCTTCTGTGGACTTCTAACACTGCTTGCACTCCCGGCCCTACAAATAGCTGTGCCACCTGGCACCACACACCTGCCTGGCAGACATACCAGTGCCTGCTTTCAGCTCTGTGTGACCTTCACAAATCGAACAAGGCCTTTCCCTAGAGGTGGCTGGAGGAGGGTGGGCCTCTGCCCTGGGGGAGACAGTCACCAGTGACTGAGCTCCTGTACACCTCATAGCCTGGCTTCCCTTCTTCAGGCCACATACTACTATAAGTTAATCATTGTTTCTGTGCTTCAGTTTCATTGTCAGGAAAGTGGGGCTCTTAAATGTATCCAAGCCAGCTGTGGTGGTGCATGCCTGTGATCCCAGCACTCCTGAGGCTAAAGCAGGAGGATTGATGCAAGCGTAGGCTACAAAATGAGACCCTGACTCAAAAACTAAAAACTAGAAAAAGAAAAAATGTGTATCCAGGCACAGTCCCGGGCTTAGCATATAGTGTTGGGTAACAGTTGTCCACATTCAGGTGTTTCATTTTTGGTGGCTGGCTCAGCCCACCCTGGGGGTGGTGCTGGTGCAGAATGTGGTACAGGGGATTGAACCATGGTCCCTGCATGCTTGCCTAAGCAGGTGCTTTAGACACCTGAGTTATCTCAGTGGCCCCACATCCAATTTTATTATAATTTATTTTTGTCATCCTCTGGAGCAGAATGTGATGTCCCTGGAGCTCAGGTGGACAGGCCTGGGGGTCCCCACAGAGGTGGAAGCAAGTGGTAGCATCACAGTGTGTGCCACCACGTGGCCAGCCCACCTGGGCAAAGTCTGGTGGGCTATGCCACCCAGGAGCCCAGCTGTGATGTGAACTTGTCAGCCACCCCCTAGCAAGGCTTGTGGCTCTGGGACACAGGAGCTGCCAGCCAGGGGCCCTGGGGTCTAATTCCAGGGGTGGCTGTGTCCGTCCCTTACAGCCCAGGGGACAACCCCTCCTCTCCTCCGCACAAACAGCCTGGCCCCAGGAGTGCGCCTCTCCTGCCAGGCCACCCGGCAGGCTCCTGCTGACGTGAGCTGGGTCCCCAGGGAGGTATCTCTGTCACCAGGAGGCTGAGCGCCTTCTGGGGCTGAGTCTCCTCCCATAACTCTGTTCCTGTCTGGAGGTGCATGAGCCTGGCCGACTCGACTCTCAGGTAGTGAGGCCATCACCCCTCCCCAGCCCTCCCTCCCAGCCTCAGTTTCTTCAGTGAGCAGGATATTAGCTGGACTCACTCCAAGAACTTAGGTGGCACAGCACAGTAGTGCACACCTGTCATCCCTCCCCTTGGGAGGCTGAAGCAGGAGGATCTTGGGTTCAAGGGCAGCCTGGGCTACATAGTGAGATCCTGTCTCAACCTTCCCCACAAAGAATAAGGGCTTATGGCAACATAAATGGGTCGCTGCATACAAAGTATGTCAACAGTGGCAGACACAGCAAGAAGTGTCTCATCGCCGGATGTGGTGGTGCATGCCTGGGAGGCTGAGACAGGACGATAGCGAGTCTAAGCCAAGAGTGGGCAGCTTACTTAGAGAGACACTGTCACAAAATGAGAAATACAAAAAAGTGATTGGGGACAGCTCAGTGGGAAGGTCCTGGGTTCCAACACACACACATACACACACACACACCCCACACACAGAGTCAAGAAGTTACAGATTGAACCTCCCTAATCAACAGACCCAAAATTTGAAAGGCTCCAAAATCCAAAAGGCTGCCATGAAGCTACAGGTGCAGAATTTCCCATCAGGGAATTTTATTTCATGCACATCACGGTGAAACATACTACATGCGCTGGGCATGGTGGTACATGCCCATAGCCTGAACGCTCGGGAGGCTGAGACAGGAGGATCGCCAGAAGTTCAAGGCCACCCTGGGCTACGTCGTGAGACCCTGTCATGAAAAATTAATGAACAAATAAATAAATAGAAAAATATATTGTACAAAGTGACCTCTGGGCCTGTGTGAGGTGTGTGTGGCCCGCACATGAATTTCATGTCTAGACTTGGGTCCCACACCAAGATTCATCACGCTGCGCTTGCAGACATCCAGGATCTGGAAGCATCTGCAACACCTGGTCTCATGCACACCGAATGTGGATATGGCGGAGGGAGCCCCAACTGCGTGTGTTTGAACACAGGTCTCGCGTAGCCCCGGCTGGCCTCGAGCTTGGTGGCATGATGGACACATTGAGTGGCTATAGCACCCTTGCTAAGTATGCGAGAGTTTGTTTCTGGGCTCCCCGCCCGCCCCCCGCTGTTTCTCTGTTGCCAGTGCCGCACTATTCTGATTACTGTAACTTTGGGGGAGTTTTGAATCAGGAAGCGGAATCTTCCAACTGTGGTCTTTCTTTGTTTCGAGGTTGTTTTGGCAACTCTGATCCTTTTGATGTGAGTTTTAGGATGAGGTTTTCTATTTCTTAAATGAAACGGTTGGGTTGGGGGGATGTGATCCCTGAATTGCTGGGACTAACACAGACGCCACAGCATGGCCCTGCCTTGGGAGCATGACTGTGCGAGGGCAGGCAGGGTTGGGGGCATTTTGGTGCACGCCTTTGCCCCCACCCCCTTCCGTGTTTGGTTTGGACTTGAGGTGCGAATGAGCTTCGTCCTTGAGGTCATGCCGGAGCGCTGCCATGCTGTCTCGAAATCCATGCACACAGGATAGCTTTCTCTAGACTTTTGGTTTTTGTTTGTTTCGTTGTGACAGGGCCTCACTATGTAATCCAGACTGGCCTTAAACTCACTATGGAGCCCACGTTGGCCTCAAACTTGCTGAGATCCTCCTGCCTCAGCCTCCCAAGTACTAGCATGCACCACCATGCCTAGTTTGTCTTTGATTTCTTTCAGGACTTTTTTTTTTTTTTTTAATCTTTTTGAGATAGGGTCTCACTATGCAGTTCAGGCTGGCCTTGAGCTCCCTTTGTAGCCCAGGCTGGTCTCAAACACACAACAACCCTCCTGCCTCAGCCTCCCGAGTGCTGGGATTACAGGCATGCGCCACCACACCCAGCAGGACTTTTTTTTCCTTTACAGTGCTTTGGACTGAACCCAGGGCCTCCTGGATGCTAAGCTAGCTCTGCATCTGCCCCACTAAGTTTTCACTTGCAAGTCATAAAAATGGTATTTTCTATACTCTATGACTCCTGTATTTCTTATTTGGACAACTGATTTATGTTCCTCTCTTTGGGGGAAGGGGGGCCGGAAATTGAACTCAGAACCTCGTACTTGCCAGACAGGCACTGTGCCAGTGAGCTAAACCCCAGGGTTCACGTTCCTGTCTTGTTAGAAAGGGATCCAAGCTGAGAATACAGCTCAGCAGCAGGATGCTTGCTGGCCTGGCGTGTGCTGGGTTTCTACCTCAGCGCCACGCTTGCTGGGACTGGTGGCACACACATGTAATCCCAGCACTCTGGAGGCTAGGGCAGGAGGATCACCTTGGCTTTGAGACAGGCCTCAAACTTGCAGCAGTTCTCCTGCCTCAGCCTACCTGTTGGTGACATTACAGGTGTATGTCACCGTACCCAGCTATGGGTTAGAATTTTGACATGTGTTAGTCCAGGGCAGCTTCCCTAACAAGTCAACATTTCAACTGAGGCCAGAAAGAGGAGCCACTGGGAATCTGGGAAGGAGAAACAGGCTGGATTTAGGGAGCAACCGGGAGCCCAGAAATGGGGCGCTGCAGTGGACTGGCTTTTGTCTTGAGTTAGGTGGGAGCCGTAGAGGGCTCTTTAGCGTCGGAGCTGCGGCCTGATCAGTGCTCGTGGGCGCCCTCTCGTGGCACTGGGAGGAATAGGTGGAATGAAAATGTGGGAACCCAGGTAGATGTGAATGCCTCTTGCTGGCTACGGCCAAGAGGGGTGACGGGGACAGATTTGGGTAGCTAAGCAGATATGAGGTGCAAAGCACAGAACCAGAGCAGACCCCAAGGTTTTGGCCTGAGGGTGGGAGGACAGGCATGTGCCCCCTCCCCTGAGCCCTGACATGATCTTGCCTTCTGTGATCACTCTCCCTGCCTGTACTCCACAGCTTTGATGCAGAAAATGGGCCGACACCATCCCCCGGACGCAGCCCCCTGGACTCGCAGGCGAGCCCGGGCCTCGTGCTGCACGCCGGGGCAGCCACCAGCCAGCGCCGGGAGTCCTTCCTCTATCGCTCCGACAGTGACTATGACATGTCACCCAAGACCATGTCCCGCAACTCGTCAGTCACCAGCGAGGCGTGAGCAAACCTCTCCTCACCCCAAAACCGGGTCTCAGCACAAACTGCCCACCTTGGTCGCCTTCTATGCCTGCATACCCCAGTTAAGGGTCAGGCAGCCCTGCCACCTTAGTGTCACCCAGGCTAGGCAATAGCTCCGCCACTGAGCTATGCTGGTTTTATTCTGAGACAAGGTCTCACTGAGTTGTACAGACTGGGCTTGAACTTGCAATCCTCCTGCCTCAGCCACCTCCTCTCTCGATGGATCCCCAAGGCCCCCACTACTCCTCCAGGGGCCACCTTGGGCCTTGCAGCCCCCTGCCTGCCCTGCTTTCCTCACGATCTGGCAGCATATCCCACTTCCCCAGGTTCCCCCCAGAGCTGCCTCTGTGCAGGCCCCTGACCGGCCACCATCCTTGATTGCAGGCACGCGGAGGACCTCATTGTAACGCCCTTTGCCCAGGTGAGACCCTTCCCCAGGTGGCTCAAGAGGGAAGCAACTCCAGCCCTCCCCTGCGCCTGTCCTCACTGCTACCCACCACCCCCAGGTGCTGGCCAGTCTCCGCAGCGTCCGAAGCAACTTCTCGCTCCTGACCAATGTGCCCATTCCCAGCCACAAGTAAGTTGAGGCTGGGACCTAGTGCCTGTGAGCACAGGGGAAAGGCACAGCAGGTTCAGTGTTCAGCCGCTGTGTGACCTTGAGCAAACCCTTGGCCTCTCTGAACCTCTGTTCAGGCAACACCTCCGTCTGAGCCAGAGCCCACTGCAGTTGGAGGGCCTAAGACACAGACACTTTATAAATAATACAGAGACCCAAGGGTCTGCTTGCAAAGTAGGAAGACTCCAGCCAGTCCTGGTCTCTGGGCCTATAGCACTGTTGGTCTATTTTCTCTGTCTCCGTTTCTCTGACTCTGTCTCTCTGTCTCTCTCTGTCTCTGTCTGTCTCTGTCTCTTTGTCTCTGTCTGTGTCTCTGTCTCTCTCTGTCTCTGACTCTCTGTCTCTGACTCTGACTCTCTCTGTCTCTCTCTCTCGCTCTCTCTCTCTCTGTTTCTAGTACTGGGAATCGAACTCACGACCTTGCACTTGCCAAGCAGGCTTTGTGCCAGTGGGCTATATCCCTGGTCCCACTGTTTACTTTTGGTAAAATGGGAACTGCAGTGGTTGGTGTCTCCAGTTGATAGCTCTGAGGAGCCCCAGAGATGGCATTAAAAGGACTAGCACTTTTCCCTGCACATAGTAAGTGCTCGGCAAATATGACTGCTTTGTCTGGTTTTGAGGCAGGTGGACAGAGTCATCCTAGAGGGTTGGAGAAGTTGGGCAGAGTAGTCAAGCGGTCAGGGATTTTGGAAACTCCAAATGTGGTCCTACTATTCAACTGTGTTTTCTCCAAGAGACCAACTTTATCGGGCTGGGGAGATGGCTCAGTGGAATAAGCACTTGCCTGGCAAGCTCAAGGACCTGAGTTCAATCCCTGGTTCCGCAAAAAAAGAAAAGAAACCAACCTTATCTCCTTGGACCCCAGTTTCCTCATCTGTAAAATGGGTTCTTGGCCCAGCACATTGGCAGGCTGTAGGCAAAGCATGTGACTGTGTGCTGGGGACATAGCACAGGAGGTTGGGATCTAGGGCTGGCTGGCAGTGTGACATGGGGGCCTCATTTCTTTGCAGGCGGTCCCCACTGGGAGGCCCCGCCCTCGTCTGCAAGGCCACTCTGTCAGGTAGCTAAGCCTGGGGAGTGGGGAGGCATGGCTTGCTATCGTGGGAGTCCCTCGACTGGGGAGCTGGCAACACTTTGCCCAGCACTCAGCTCACCTGGCTGGCTGGGGTCTCGGGGACCCTTTCGGATATCATGCCTGCTACCCCTTCCCCAGAGGAGACATGTCAGCAGCTGGCCCGGGAGACCTTGGAGGAGCTGGACTGGTGCCTGGAGCAGTTGGAGACCATGCAGACTTACCGCTCTGTCAGCGAGATGGCCTCACATAAGGTTTGTGGGCGGGGCTTCTGGTGGGCGGGGCTTCTGGTGGGCCAATCACAAGGCAGGGGTTGATGGTGGGTGGGGCTTATGATGGACTAATCCCTATGCTGGAGTGTTTGGGTGGAAGAATCCCTGGGTGGAGTTAGTGGGATGGGGTCAGTTACTGGGAATGGCCTATGGAATAGGACCAATGGCCTGAAATGGACGGGGTCTGTGGATGAACCAATCCTCCACCACTGAGGTGGTGGTGGTGGAGCCAACCACTCAGTGAGATGGGGCGATTCCTTGAGTAGAGCTGGCGGGAATGGAGTCTATTGGCGGAGCCACTCAGCAGTGGGCGGGATCAATTCTTGGGTAGGATCTACATGGCCAATGTGGGTGGAGCCAACCACTACAATGGGTAGACGTGGGCAGGGCCAATTCTTTGGCCTGGTCTGTGAGCGGAGGGCCATCCCCTTGGTGGGTTGATTGTGTAATGTCAAGCCCAGGCCAGGCTGATGTGTGTAGTGCCTAGGGAGGGAAGGCAGTCCCTGGGCGAGGTCAACCCTTGGACGACAATTTGAAAACTTGTGCCTGCTGTAGATTCTGGCTTTTTGCTCAGGGCTGGCGTACCTGGTGTGTATCAGGGCATGTGTGCGTCTAATTGTACGTTTGTCTGTAGGTGACTGTTCCCAGGGCTGTGGTGCATTCACGTGACTTGCGGGTGTGAATCTGGTTTTGGATCTGTGCAACTATTCATTTGTTAGCTCCCGATTTGCAGGCTTGGGTTTGGAGTGGCTACTGAGGGGTGGCACGAACAGGGATAAACTTCTGTAGGGTGGAGGTGTGCATCAGAGGTTATGAGGGGTTATGTGTGCTATGCGTGCAGCTGCTGCCCGAAAGATGTGTGTACCTGCAGGTTGAAGGCGGTCCAGATGCAAATCTGAGTGTGTATCTGTTCAGTCTTTATGACTGTGTGTGCTTTCGTGTTGCTCCAGCAAAGGAGCAGCCTGTGCAGCTGTACGTGCTGTGTACTGCACAACTTCAGGGGGCGCTGTTCCAAGAGCAGGCAGCATGAGTGATGCTTCCGGAGTTCTGCATCGTGGGGCAGCCCTTGTGGGCGGGTGCCTACCCGGAAGTGAGTGTGCAGGTGGCGTGCCTTTGCTGGGGAGCACACACATCCGTGGGTGGAAGCCTGTCTGGGAAACTGGAGTGTGGAAGTGACTGTGCCCCTGAGGGCAGGTCAAGCAACTGAGTGTGACTGTGCTACGGCCAGAGGCATTCCCATGCTGTGCACATGTGTGTGCAGGCGTGCGTGCACCTGTGGATGGGAACAAATAGTCCCTTACTGATTTGCCGGGGTACCTTTGTGTCTCAGGGTCTCATGATGTTTGTGTTTGAAATGTATGTCCTGGGTGTGTCTTGTATATGTGGTGTGTTGGTGTTTGTCTGTAGGTGTGCGTCTGGGTGTGGGTCAGTGTTCATGGGTGTGTCTGAGGCAGCTGTCTATGCTCTGCTGGATCCCTATCAGTGTGGTGGACATCAGAGTTGTGGTTGTCTTAGTTGTGTGTGTGTGTGTGTGTGTGTGTGCGTGTGCCCATGTGTGTTCCCTGTAAGTGTAGCAATGAAAGCATTTGCGCATCTGTATGTGTCCCCTAGGTGTTAGAACCTGGGCGGGTGTGTTGGTGACCTGGGGTGTGTGTGTGTGTGTGTGTGTGTGTGTGTGTGTGTGTGTGTGTAGTGTCTGGGTGTGGGCCTCCAGGTGTGTCCAAGGACAGGGTGCATCCTTACCAGGGGGAGCTGCATGGGTCTCCTGCCCTCCCTGCCCCTGGCACCCCAGGTCCTTGCTGACGCCCGTGGGCTCTGATGCCCCTTTAACACCCCCCCCCTGCACCACCTGACTTCGCACGCAGCCTGCCAGTGCTGCAGTGCACACGCACACTCGGGGCACACACAGAGCCCCGTGCCTCCCAGCCTCCTCCCAGGACCCTCACCCGGCACCCCCATGGGCAGGGGCCCCCCACTGCCTCCAGCCTCCACTGCTGGGGGGCCCATCGGGGCCAGTGGCTGGTGGGCCATGTAACTGAGGCTGCCAGCGGGAGCGCGGAGGGGAAGGGAGCCCCCAGCCCTGCTGGGCCGGCCCAGGCCCCTCCGCGGCTCCCCCTTCCACTGCTCCCACCTACCCAGCACCCCTCCCCTGCAGCTGGGAACCCCCAGTCCAGCCCAGCTTCTCTGTGCAGCAGCCCCAAGCGGGGCTAAGGCTCCAAGATGCCCCTGGTTGATTTCTTCTGCGAGACCTGCTCCAAGCCGTGGCTGGTGGGCTGGTGGGACCAGGTAGGGGACACAGGTTGGGGGGTGGGCAGGAGACCTGTGGCTAACTGGGGGGTCTTATGTGTGTAGACACACACGTGTGTGGTGGGACACAGCCTTAGCGCTGCCTCTGTGTGGCCTGGGGCTGGGCTGGGATGTGAATGGATAGATGGGGGTGTGTGGCTCCCCTGGGGAGGGTAGGTCTCCGGGTGTGACAGTGTCGAGACCCGATGGTGTATGTGTGTGTGCGGGTGTGTGTCCTGTCTAGGTCATAGTGTGGCCCTATCTGCAATCACATGGCTCTGACTGGGATTCTGTGTGTCGGGTCGTGTCTGTGAGCCCAAGCTGCCTGATGTTTCTGGACCATGTGACCCTGAATGTCACCGACAGCTCTGTTGTTTGTGTCCCCATGATTTGTATGTCTGCACTGTGTGATGCTATAGGACGAATACAGCTTGGTGTGACATGTGTGAGAGGTGTGTGCATCCAGGGCCTCTGGGCAGCACTGGGGGAAGTGACCACCCTGTCCCCATAGGAGCCGCCCTTCCTGCCCACCGTCCCTCCTGCCGCTCTGAGCAGAGGCTGTTCCTGCTTTGGGAGGCTTTGGCAGCGCTTGGGGGCGGGGAGCCATTGCCCTTTTCCTCTCTGCACAATGTCATAGCATCGGCCTGTGTGAAGTGGCCTGGGAGGACTAGAAGGGGTCCTGAAGGCCAGCTCTGGGGATATGCCATTTATCTGAGCATCTGTCCATGTCCCTGGGGTTGGGAGTGGGCTAGGAGGGGAACGACCTCCCCCTCCCCTGAGTGACCACACTGGGGTTTCCTCAGTTCACTGTTCCCTTGAGGGCTGCCAGACCTCTTCCCAGAGCTTGGGTGCTGTAGTCCCTTTCTCCAAACTGGGTTGTTGCTGAAGGTCGGGACTCCTAGGAATAGGGGTCCATGTCTGGCAAGCCCTGGCCAGGGGTAACTCTGGAAAGGCAAGGGTTAAGGGGCCTTCAGCTTGCCCCCCTTTCCCCAACTCAGCAGCTGGTTGGAGGGGGAGTTGCTAAGGAGACTCCCATCACCATGGTGACGGGATTCTCCTGGTACCTCATTGGCTCCCTGTTAGGCAAGAACCCCTCCCTTGCACAGGTGCCCCTCTGACTCCTCCTTGGGGGGATTGGAGAAGAGTGTCCCTTCTCAGAGAAGGAGGGCTACACTGATTCTGATCTCAGCACCCAGCCTGGGGACTCCCATCTATAGCTGGAAGAGGGAAAGGGCTGACCCCTCCTCTCTAGCAGCCTGCTGGAGGCTCTGGACTGAGATGGTAGGGACATCTGAGGTCCTCGAGAGTTTGTTGGACAGGGGTGACCGACACTTGCCCCCTGGAGCCACAATGATCCCCCACCATCCCTCCTTTCTCGACTCCTTCCCCTTAGTTCAAGAGGATGCTGAACCGTGAGCTCACACACCTGTCAGAAATGAGCAGGTCGGGCAACCAGGTCTCAGAGTACATCTCCACTACATTCCTGGGTGAGTGGAGGGCAGTAATGGGGAGGAAACACCTGGGCTGGGGGGCTCCCCAGCCTCTTAACTTCCCAAAGGTCAAAGCCAACACACACACACACACACACACACACACACACACGCCAACACACAGAAGAGCTCCCACACTGATGAGGCCCCCAAATTCAGTGGGACCCCAACTGCTATGGAACCCACCTGTAAGAATGTCTTGGGGGTTAGGGGTATAGGTCAGTGGTGAGCATGTTCAAGGCCCCTAGTGTGAGCTACAGTTATATCTCTAAGCTAAAAACCTCCTCTAAACCTCATGAAACCCCAGTGAAACTCAAACTCCAGATCCCGAAAGCCCCCTAAATTCAAATAGAATTCTGGACTTTAAAAAAACCTGCCATGTCAGCCCCGCTCCCCAGGGCACACAGACAGTGATTGAGACTGGGTGTGGTGGCACACACCTGTAATCCCAGCATTTGGGAGGCTGTAAACAGGAGAATCACTACAAGTCCTATCTAGTAGTGAGACCCTGGACACCCTATAGACCCTTCCCTAAAATCCAAAAAAAGAAAAGAAAAGCCTCTCAAGGGGGCTGGGGAGATAATTCAGTGGTCTAAGCACCTGCCTGGCAAGCACAAGGACCCAGGTTTGATCCCCAGTATAGCATGCTATGCTGGCAACTGAAACTGGATGTGGTGGTACATGCCTGTAATCCCAGTTCTGGGGAGGCTGAGACAGGAGGATCACTATAAGTCCAAGCTGCATAGCGAGACCCTGTACCAAATAAATAAATAAATATTAAAAAGAATCTACTAGGAGGGGTAGGATGTACTTGTAATTCCAGCACTAGGGAGGCTGAGGCAGAAAGATCACCTTGTGTTAGAGGCTAGCCTGTGCTACTTATGGAGACTGTGTCTCAAAAAAAGGGGGGGACTGTAAAAGATTCACAAAATATAGGATAATTTCCTAACCCCATGGAACCCTAAATACAATAGAGAGTACCCCCAGATTCATCCACATTCTTACACTTGTGGGGAACTCAAGTCTATCCTGACTTCTGAGCCCAAGCCCTCACTCAGTCTACCTCTGCAAACACACGCACAAGACAGTTTCACCTTCACAATTTATCACCAAATCCCAAAGGCCCCCAAGTTCAGGTCTCATCCCCTCAAATCAACACACCCCTAATGAGCACAAATGAAAGGACCCAGAATTTCAAATGTTCCCACCAATGAGAATGTGGTCTCAGTGTTGGAAGGATTCAGCCAATGGCAGCTTGGTATGCAAATGACCCCCTAAATAGGCCCCATCATTGACTGGTGGTCCCAAGTCATAATGGGTGGCCCTGGCCAGCTTGAAAGTTCTGAGAAAAAAGAAAAAAGAAGAGAAAGTTCTGAGAAGTCTTCGATGCTGGCCCGCACACAGAGTGGAGCCAAGAGGGGACATGGAGCCAGAGAACCCCCTTCCCTCCCCTGTGCCAGTGATGCCTTCTGCCACCAGCCCACTTGGCCATCATGGTGTTACCTTCGCCAGACAGGAAGGGTCCCTGGGTAGCCAGGCCAGGCAGCGGCCCTCCCCGTTGTCCCCCTCCCAGTTCCTGACTTCCCACACCACCGCACCACGCCACGTGGCAGTGGCTCAGGGGCCAGCCCACAGCCTCATTGGACCCGCACCAGGCCCCCTGCTCACACTCACCAGCTCCAAGAACTGTGCTCCCTGTGGCTGCCAGCCACAAAACACCCATCCGTGTGCCACTCAGACAGGGCTTGCCCTGATGGGTAAGTCTTCCCAGAATGTGGTGAGCTGAGGGACGAAAGATCTTCCCTGGAGCGGTGCTCATGTCCATCCCCAAACTTCAACAGACAAACAGAATGAAGTGGAGATCCCATCACCCACAATGAAAGACCGAGAGCCCCAGGAAGCACCTCGACAGAAGCCCTCCCAGCCGCTTCCACCCCCGGTGCCACATCTGCAGCCCATGTCACAGATTACGGGAGTGAAGAGACTGTTACACAGCAGCAGCCTGAACAATGCCAGCATCCCCCGCTTTGGGGTGAAGACTGATCAGGAGGAGCTCCTGGCCCAAGTGGGTGGACACATGGCGGGGGCAAGGCGCTCGGCGAACCCTGGGCGCGAGTGTTTATCTCCCCTGCTGACACCAACAGAGGGTATCTGTTGCCCTCGGTTTATTTTTTATTTTTTAGCAGAGCTGGGGATTGAACTCAGGCCCTTGACTTGCCAGGGAAGCGCTTATCCCACTGAGCTATCTCCCTGGCCCATGCCCTCAGTTCATTGAACACCTACTCTGTGCCTTCGCTGTTTTCTGGATTTTGGGACATGTGGAGGATAAGACAATCCACACCCCTGTCCAGGGTGGAGGAGGGCTCTTGAGTGGTTTATCTTAGAGGCTGAGCTGAGTCACCTCTCAGCTGTGCCACTTGTGGACCACCTCAGGACCTTGGAGACGCTGTCTCTCTTCTCTAAGCCTTAGGTCCCTCACCTGCCAAATGAGATCAAGTGTTGGGTGGGTAGTAAGTGCTCAAAAGAGAGTAGCTCGAGGTTGAGGCAGGAGGATCACAAGTTCCAGTCCCACCAGGATAATTTAGCAACTGCAAGATCCTGTCTCAACGTAAGATAATGAAAAAAGTGCTGGGGCCGGGGTTTCCATCCCCTGGCCTGCCTTGCCGGCCCCAGCACCGCCCCTGGGGCACGCTGAGAAGGCAATTGAGACTGCGCGTGGTGGCCCGCACCTGTAATCCCAGCTCTTGGGAGGCTGTAAACAGGCAGATCACTACAAGTCCGATCTAGTAGTGAGACTGTGAACACCCTGTAGACCCTTCCCTAAAAAAAAATAAAAAAATGAAAGACCAGCCTGAGCTACAAAGTGAGTTTCCCTAAAATCCAAAGGGGGGAAAAAGGTGCTGGGGGATGTAGCTCATTATGTAGGTCCTCGGTTCAGTACAACAGGGTCCTGGAGGTCCTGACCTCTGACCCCTGTCTCCACCAGGAGCTGGAGAACTTAAGCAAGTGGGGCCTGAACATCTTCTGCGTGTCGGACTACGCCGGAGGCCGCTCGCTGAGCTGTATCATGTACACAATATTCCAGGTGAGACCGGCAGCAAAGCACAGCCCCGGCTGTGAGCGGCACAGCGTGGGGTCCTCAGGAGCGGCAGGGTCACTGCTCTGTCCTTGTGGCCCCCAGGAGCGGGACTTGCTGAAGAAATTTCGCATCCCTGTGGACACCATGGTGACATACATGCTGACACTGGAGGACCACTACCATGCCGACGTGGCCTACCACAACAGCCTGCACGCGGCTGACGTGCTGCAGTCTACCCACGTACTGCTGGCCACGCCTGCCCTGGACGTGAGCTCTGGCCTCCGCGTGTCCCCCAGGCTCCTCCTCTCGGGGTCGCCCAGCTCTCTGTCTGATTCCATTCCTCTTACCTGCTTTTCTCCTCCCCTTCATTCTAACACAGTCCCTCTTTGCCCCCATCTCTTTGACCCCAGGCGGTGTTCACAGACTTGGAGATTCTGGCAGCCCTCTTCGCAGCCGCTATCCATGATGTGGACCACCCTGGGGTCTCGAACCAGTTCCTCATCAATACAAGTGAGTGGTGCTTCTCGGGTGGGGCGGAGTCAGGTGGAGGCGGAGCCTGCTGGGCTCCGGAAGACTTTGACCAATGGAGGTGCAGCTGTCAGGCCTGAGGGCGTGGCTAGTCAGGCTGGAGGCGAATCTGGCAGGGCTGGGGGCGTGGCTTGGTCGGTTGGAGGAGGAGCCAGCAAGGGTGGGTGGGGTCAGGGGCTGGGCCGCGCTATCCCCCCACACACACACTTATCGAGCCCTTGCTGCAGATTCTGAGCTGGCGCTCATGTACAACGACGAGTCGGTGCTCGAGAACCACCACCTGGCTGTAGGCTTCAAGCTGCTGCAGGAAGGGAATTGTGACATCTTCCAGAACCTCAACAAGCGCCAGCGGCAGAGCCTGCGCAAGATGGTCATCGACATGGTAGGTGGGCTTTGGCCGAGGGAAGGGTCCAAACCCCAAGACCCTCCTGACACCTGAGGGGACTGGCAGATTCTGCTGGGCTCCGGGTGGGTTCAGCAGGGAGCCCACAGGCTGCAGGGGCCCCTGTGACGCCCCGTTGTCCACAGGTGCTGGCCACGGACATGTCCAAGCACATGACGCTCCTAGCTGACCTGAAGACCATGGTGGAAACCAAGAAGGTGACGAGCTCGGGAGTTCTCTTACTGGACAACTACTCCGACCGCATCCAGGTACCCACTGCCTGCCCAGCTAGGACATGGCCCCTTCCTCCCCCTTAGTGTGGTTAGCTGCCTCTTCCTCAGTTCCTATCTTGCATGGCCCATCACTGTCCCCTCCCTGTCTTTTTTTCCAACCCCATCTCTCATTTCCCCCACTTCCTCCATGGCCCCCAATTCGCCCTTTCCTCTCTCATCATCTCCTGTCTCCTGTTTCCCCTCCTCCATTTCCTCCCCTTTCATACCACTTGTTCCTCCTCTCTCTCTCTCTCTCTCTCTCTCTCTCTCTCTCTCTCTCTCCCTGGACAGCATTTTGCTTCATACTGCAGGCTGTCCTTTCATTCACTATGGAGTCCAGGCTGGCCTCGCACTCCAGGATCCTCCTGCTGGGATGACAGGCGTGCACCATCACAGCTGGCAACCCCTCCTCTTTCCATCTCTCCATGCCTCTCCCTTCCACTCCTCCACCTCCTCCTCTGCAGCAGCCCCAGGCTGGCCCAGAGCCAGGTCTGGAAGTCGCCCTTGTCCCCCTGCAGGTCCTTCGGAACATGGTGCACTGCGCAGACCTCAGCAACCCCACTAAGCCGCTAGAGCTGTACCGCCAGTGGACGGACCGCATCATGGCTGAGTTCTTCCAGCAGGGCGACCGAGAACGAGAGCGGGGCATGGAGATCAGTCCCATGTGTGATAAGCACACGGCCTCCGTGGAGAAGTCACAGGTACAAGGCCAGTGTGCTGGTAGTAGCGGCCCTGGGGTCCTCTCTGCTCTCCACAGAGTCAAAGGTTTCTGTTTGTTTTCAACACTAGGGATGGAACCCAGGGCTTTTTTTTTTTTTTTTTTTAATTTTTTTTAATTTTTGGTGGAACGGTAGATTGAACTCATGTCCTTGCGCTTACCAGAGAAGCACTTATTCTACTGGGCCATCTCCCCGACCTAGAACCCAGGGCTTTTGTACGGAACCACATCCCAAGATCCCCAGCCCTTTTTTATATTTATTCAAAGGTATCTCATTTTTGAGATAGTGTGTTACTAAATGAACCTTATCTAGGCTGGGCTTGAGTTTGAAATCCTGCTTCAGCTTTCCAGAGTCCTGGGGTTGTAGGTGTGCAGCACCCTAACCAGCTCATGCATCTTTTTTCTCCTCCCTAGTTTTGTTTTTGGAAACAGGTCTCCCAGTATAACTCAGGCTGGCCTTGAACTTGCAGCGATCCTCCTGCCTGAGATCCCTGAGGCCTGAAATTCCAGGGTTGTGCCACCATGCCTGGTGCTTATACATGTGTTTTTACAGTTTGCTTTTTCTTCTCAATAGAGACATAGATTTTAGTTCATCTTTTTAATTCACCACACATAGATTTAGTTCATCTTCTTCTGTACAGTATTTTTTTTTTTTTTTTTTGTGGAACCAGGGATGAACTCAGGCCCTTACGCTTGCCAGGGAAGCGCATACTCTACTGAGCCATCTCCCCGGCCCCTGTATAGTATTTCATAGAGAGAACAGTTAGGTTATTCTCCTGCTAGTGAACATGTAGGTGTCTAGCAGTTAGAAATTCACAGTGACAAGCCAGGCATGCTGGTGCACACCTGTAATCCCAGCACTCAAGAGGCTGACCCAGGAGGATCACCCCGAGTTTGAGGCTAGCCTGGGTTACATAGTGAGGTCAAGGTCGTTCTGAACTACATAGCAAGATCCTATGTCAAAGAAAAATAGAATTGGGCCCGGGAGATGGCTCAGGGGAATAAGTGCTTCCCTGGCAAGCGCAAGGGCCTGAGTTCAATCCCATCCCCAGTTCCACCAAAAAAAAGAAAAAAAGAGTTCAGTGACATGAACAAGACAACATTTTTTTCTCTCACTTAAAGTCTAAAAAACCAGGAATCTAGCATTGAGACAGCAGGTTTGTTGACAAACAGCCCCGGGGACAAATGATGTTTACTTTTCTGCCACCAAAAGTGTGAGAGGAATGCCTCTTTTGGTCACAGATGAGGGCAAAGCTCCAGTCACCCATTTTGGCTGCATTTCACTGAAGGCAGGCCTGTGCCAGCAGAGGCAGCCCCCAGGCTCTTCTCACCATAGAGGGTCACATGGTCACTCTCTTCTCAAAGGATGCTGGGAAATGCAGGGGTTTTTTGGGTGGAACCGGGGATTGAACTCAGGCCCTTGCACTTGCTAGGGAAGCGCTTATTCCACTGAGCCATCTCTCTGGCCCCTGGAAACGTAGTTTTTAATTGGACGTGTTGCTTCCCATAAGAAAAGTAAAGGTTCTGGGCCAAGCACCTGCCTGGCAAGTGTTAAGGTCATAAATTCAATCCCTGCTACCAAAAAGAAGAGTAAAGATTCTGCCACTTGGTAGAAGGGAAGATGAGGGCCCAGGGAGATAGCTCAGTAGAATAAGCGCTTGCCTGGCAAGTGCAGGGTGCTGAGTTCAATCCCCGATACTGAAAGAAAAAAAAAAAAGGAAGATGATAGAGATCACAAAGCAGTGTGACACCAGTGTGATCACAAAGAAAACACAAACTTTCTTTTTTTTTTTTTTTCAGAACTGGGGATTGAACTCAGGCCTTTGTGCTTGCTTGCCAGGCAAGTGCTTATTCTATTGAGCCGTCTCCCCTGCCCTCAATTTTTTTTTTTTCTTTCTTTCTTTCTTTTTTTCTTTCTTTTTTTTTTTTTTGTATTTTAGGGAAGAGTCCACAGGGTGTTCAGGGTCTCACTACTAGATCAGATTCGTAGTGATCCGCCTGTTTACAGCCTCCCAAGAGCTGGGATTACAGACATGTGCCACCATGCCCAGTCTCTTTTATGTATTTGGCAAAGGGTCTCACTATGCAGCTTGGACTTGTAGTGATCCTCCTGTATTTAGCCTTCCCAGTGCTAGAGCGCTGGGATTACAGGCATGTGTCACCATGCCCAGTCTCGGTGGCCTTGGCTCAGCGTGCCCGGGGTGGGGCGGGACCTGGCTAGGCTGGTAGGGCATGTAGCACCAGGGATCAAACTCCGGACCTTGCACTTGCCTAAGCAGGAGTGTAGTCCCCCTGAGCTATCTGGCCAGCCTTTTTTTCTTTCTTTTTTTTTTTTTTTTGAGAAAAGGTCTCACTGTACAGCTCAGGCTGGTCTCCAACTTGTAACAGTCCTCCTGCCTCAGCCTCCTGAGTGCTGGGAATACAGGTGTGTATTACCACACCAATATAAATATATCTATCTATAGATATATATGTATAATATAGATAGATAGATGCATAATATATATAGATATAGATATGTATTAGAGAGAAAGAGAGAGAGAGAGAGAGAGAGAGCGTTAGATCCCCAATTCACCTGCTTGCTTATTTATTTACTTATGCATTTCGAGACAAGGTCTTGCCATGTTGTCCATGCTGGCCTGGAATTTACAGTGATCTTCCTGCCTCAGCCTCCCAAGTGCTGAGATTACAGGTGTGCCCAACCACGCCCAGGCGCCTTTTATTTCAGACAAGGTCTCACCAAGCTTCTCAGGCGGGATCTGAACTTGCAGTTCTCCTGCCTCAGCCTCTCTCACCGTTTGGGGATCCCGGAGTGCCCGTGTGAGGGGCCCTGCCACCTGTTCAGACCTCCTCTTCTCTGCCCTAGGTGGGTTTCATCGACTACATCGTGCACCCGCTGTGGGAGACATGGGCGGACCTGGTGCACCCAGATGCGCAGGACATCCTGGACACGCTGGAGGACAACCGGGACTGGTACTACAGCGCCATCCGGCAGAGCCCGTCCCCACCGCCCGAGGAGGAGCCCGGCAGGCCAGGCCACCCTGCCCCACCCGATAAGTTCCAGTTTGAGCTGACCCTGGAGGAGGAAGAGGAGGAGGAGGCATCCCTAGCCCAGGATTCTTTGGAAGCTCGGGGGGCCTTCGGGGAGGAGCCCATCAAGGTCAAGGGCCCGGAGGCCGAGACTGGGCATTTGCCTCGGGCTTTGGGCGTGGTGTGCGCTGCTCCCGCGGAACAGGAGGAATCCGTGGGTGCTGGAAGTTGCGACCTGATCCTTGAAAGCCCCGATCTGCCTGCCTGGAGGACCCAGTCCACGCCAGAGGAGTCCCCGGGCCCCCCGGGCCTCCCCTCCACGGCGGCCGAGGTGGGGGCCCAGAGAGACCAACGGGCTGCCACGAGGGCGTGCGGCGCCTGCGCGGGGACATCGGGGGAGGACCCAGCCCTGCTGGTTCCAGGCGGGCAGGAGTCGGGTGGGGACCCTCCCTGAGCCGCAGCCTGGTCGCCCCTCCGCCCGTGTCCCCCAACCCCTGCCGACCACCTCCTCTGCTGCCTCAAAGACTCTTGACCCTCTGGAGAAAAGAGAAAACAGAAAAGTTGGGGTTTTTCTCTTTTCTTTTTTTCCCCTATTCCCCTTCCCCCACCCATGGGGCCTTTTTTTGGAGGTGGGGGTTGGGGAGAGAGAGGGCGAGGTCCCAGAACGGATTTTATTTTTTAAATTTTAATTGTAACGTTTTTAGAAAAAGAACAAAAATAAGGAAAAAAAAAAAAAAAAGATGAAACACAGCAACTGTAGATGCCCCCCAACACCCCTACTCCCGGTTCCTCATTTGACACCTCCAAGCCCCTCTCCTCCCCACACACACCCACAGGTCCCAGCCTTCGTCTTCCGGCCCCTGTCCACTGAGGTTTAGGGGAGCTCCGGCGCCCAGCCAGAATAGCCATCTCGGGCAGGGCCGGCGGCGGGGGGCTGCTGCGGCCGCCGTGCTCCCTTCCCCACCGAGTCTTCCGCCTCATTTTGCACAAGCCTAGCCATATGGGGGTCGGTGGAGCTGCTTGCTGGAGGGCGCGGGGAGCAGCGGTCTCCAGGCCGACAGCCAGAGCCAGCCTTGAGGCTGCAGAGGGGTGTGACCCCCTCGGCCCCCCACCTCCCTCCCCGGCTCCTTCTGGGTCTCTGAATTTTCCAGCTTGTGTCGGAGGCTTGGGGCTCCTGTGGCGCCCGCCTCCTCCCTGCTGCTTCTCCTCTCGTTTCTGCCTTAAGGACCTCCTGGCCAGAGGAGACGGCGCAGAGGCCCTGCCTGCGCCTTGGGTAGGACCCTGGCACCCGCGCCCCCCTGGCTCCCACGCCCGACCCCCCACCTCACCCCCACCTCTTTGCCCTAGGAGGAAGCAATAACGGTGTGCACCCACATCCCCCATCTGGGGCACCCCTCCCTGCCCGTGTCCCTCTCTAGACCCTGAGCAATACGGCAGACAGATGAAGGCCATCTCCAAGCCACGGGGGGCCGTTGGAAAGGAGAGACACCCCCCCCCCCCCCCCCCCCCGTCCCTGTGCCCCTCGACCTGCCTCTGCGGCTGGGCCAGGCCGACCTAGCGTTTGTTTCCTCACCCCCCCCCATTCTGAGCACACGGTACTGTAGCCCCCACTTCTCCCATCTGTCTGTGCCCGATGGCCCGCACCCCATACCGCTGTACAGGGTTCATTTTTGTAGAGAACGTAGTTTCTTTCTGTCCCAGCCCATGGCCCAGAGGGGTCTTTTTCCTTTTTGTACATACTGTAAGGTTGGTTTGTAAATTATTCTCCAAAGGCAAAAAGGGAACATCAGCTCGCCCTACCCTGCCGACCCAGCCAGGAAGGGAGGTGAGGAAGCCTGACCCCTGCTGTATTATACAAACTGTACCATAGTCCCAGGAAGGTTGGGCTCATTGAGGTGTAGGGGACGTTGTGACATCCCAGGGATGGGAGCCTTGCACACCCGGCCGCCTCTGCCTTCCCAGATGGGGGGCACTGGCCAGGTGACTCCACCCCATCAGTCCCCCAAGCCACGAGCTGCTCGCGCGTTCCCCCTTTCACTCGATCCGTCGGTCCCTCGATCGATAATCAACTCTTTAATCTTGTCACCAATTAAACCGAGGCTTTCACCGCCCGTCCTGGCTGCCCTGGCTTCATTCCCGCCGCCGGCTCCCTCTTGCGGGTCAGCCTGGGGGGCGAGGGGCAGTCCTGTCGCTGCTGCTCCTCAGCAGCGGAGGAATTCCTATGGATTGGAACGATGTGATGAGTCCAGGTTCTGGTAGTTCCCAAACTTGGGCCCTGTCCTTGGACAGAAGTACAAAGCTGTCACACAGAAATTCAGACTCGCTGGGTGGAGGCTGAGGTTCGAGGACTCTCTCTTTCTCTCTTTCTCTCTCTCTCTCTCTCTCTCTGGCTTTTTTTTTTTTTTTTTTTTTTTTTTTTTTTTTTTAACTGGGGCAGAACCCATTGCTAAGCAAATATGGCACCCTAGTCCTTTATTTTTTACTGGAAGACAAATCTTGCTAAGTACTCCAGGCTGGCCTCAAGTTTGTGACCCTTCTGCCTCAGCCTCCCCAGGAGCTGGGCTTACAGGCATGGGACCCAGCGACCAGGTAGTGCTGTCTTTCCTTGGTGGAGATAGAAGACGAGGCCTTGTGCATGGTAGACAAGGTTTCTACATCCTCAGCCCTGGCTATGTGTGTGTATGGGGAGGGTGGTGGTTATTGTTCAGCCCTGCTGATTGAACTTGGGACCTTTACAGTGAGCTACATACCCAGGCTTTTTATTGATTTGATTGATTGATTGATTGATTGATTGATTGAGACAGGGTCTTGCTATATAGTTCAGGCTGACCTTGAACTCATGGTGATCCTCTTGCCTCAGCCTCCCAAGTGATAGGATTAGAAGTGTGTACCATCATGGCTGGCTTATTTTATTCTGAGACTGGGTCTTGCCAAGTTACTAGATTGCTGAGGTGAGATTTGAACTTGTGACCTGCCTCAACCTTCCAGAGTGCCAGGATGACAGGTGTGTGCCACACGCCGGGCACGACTCTGGGCTTCTGCCCCAGCTGTAGCTGGGTGAACTTGGGGGTGATCTTTCTCACCTCCAATTACTGAGCCTACAAAGTGGGGGCTGGAGGTGGTGCTCAAGGTAGAGCTCACGCTTTGCATTCTGGGGCCCCTGCGTTCCATCCCAGCACCAGAGGGTAAAAGCCATGACCTTTGAGGCTGCTTGCAAGCAGGATCATCCAGGGAATGTCCCACATCTGTGTCACCAGGCAAGTCAGCCACAGACCACGTGTCCCAGTGGGCACAGACACTGCACTCCTGCAGTGCTATTCAGGGTCTGGCATTTTAATTTTTCTGTCTATGAAGTAACCACTTGTAGCCAGCAGCTACTGTAATGGGCCATGCAGTTTGGCTCTTAAAACCAGGGAGTGTGTGGAAAGGCCTTGGACATACACAGCTCCATCCTTGACTGTGGCTACGGAGGCTCCCAGTAAGCTGGGAATAGTGGTGTCTTCTGCGATCATGTGGGAGGGCTGAAGCAGGAGGAGCCAAAGTTTGAGCCCAACTGGGCAATTTTTTCTTTGGCCTTATTTATTTATTTATTTATTTATTTTTGAGACAGTTTCACTATGTAGTTCAGTCTGGCCTTTGACTCACTTTGTAGCCCAGGCTAGAGCCTCAAACTCACAATGATCCTCCTGCCTCAGCCTCCTGCGTGCTGGGATTATAGACAGGTGCCACCACTTCTGGCCAGTTTAGGCAGTTTAGCAAGATTCTGTCTCAAAAATAAAAGAGGGTTGACCCTGAGTTTAGTTCCCAGGACACGGGAAAAAAGGTTCCCAGGAGATATAACAGTGCCTCCCCTGAGGGATGGGAAGCAGCAGCCTGGACCCCAGGGGAGAAATGAAGCGGGGAAAGTAGGTGGAAGTTCCCGGGTGTTTGAACTTTATGCAAGAAGCAAGGAGACCCAGACGGCGTCCCAAGAGTTGCAAAGGAGGCAGAGTGGGGAAAAGGGCATCAGGTCGGGGATCAGGCAGTGACTGCTGGTCCTAGGCTGTGGGTTTTGGCGCGGTGGCCCTGGGCAAGCCCTGTTGCTCAGTTTCCCCACATGTGAAAGGGTACCCCAACCACCTCTCCTGCTGGCTCACAGCATCAGGCTGAGAATTTGAGTCACGGTACGGGTGGCATGTGACCGCCAGATGGCTCCAAATTCTCCAGGCAAAGGTGAGGAGGGCATTGCCACAGGGTCCTGCCGTCTGAACAGCAAGGGGAACCCGGGCGAGGGACCAAGCAGTGCACTCTCTGAAGTGGACAATCAGCCACTTTTATTATTCAAAAAAACAAAAAGACAAGGTTTCACTGGACATGGTGATACATGATTGTACTCGGGAGGCTGAGGCAGGAGGACTGCTGCAAATTGGAGCCCAGTCTGGGCAATACAGTGAGTCCAGGCCAGCCTAAGCTACATAGACCTTGTCTCAAAATAAGTAAATGAGTAAGTAAATAAATAAACAAAACAGGGTCTCACTGTAGAGCCTAGGCTGGCCCCCAACTCCTGGCAATCCTCTTGCCTCAGCCTCCCAAGCACTGGGATGACAAGAAAATTCAGGGAAATGAGGTGGTGGTCTTGCTTGGCCAAGTGACTGATAGTAACTGCCAGAGGAGGGGCCTTGGGTTGAAAAAGGAGAAAGAACCCAAGCTACCTGGAAGCTGAGCCAGGAAGGGTGCTTGAGCACAGGAGGCCAAGGGCAGCCAGAGCAAAAGAATTACTTTATTTTATTTTTTGCAGAACCAGGGATGGAACTCAGGCTCTTGCATTTACCAGGGAAGCGCTTATTCCACTGAGCCATCTCCCCAGGCCCCAAGAATTACTTTAAAAACAACAAAAAAGCCAGATGTGGCGGTGCACATCTGCATCTGTGCTCCCAGCACGTGGGAGGCCGAGGCAGGAAGATCATTGCGAGTTTGAGACCAGCCTGGGCTAAGAAATGAGATCCTGTGTCAAAAAAACCTCTTTGGCCAGGGAGATGGCTCAGTGGAATAAGTGCTTCCCTGGCAAGAGCTGGGGCCTGAGTTCAATCCCCAGTTCTAAAAAAAAAACAAAAAAAACAAAAAACAAAAACAAAAACAAAAAAACTTCTTTGATATTTTCTGCATATTTTTGCAATTGAGCATGTGTTACTTTTACAATTGGGTGACAGAAACTGGGGTAGACTCAGTTACTTATGTGCTTTGTACCTCCATTTCTCTAGCTGTTACCTGCATGCGGGCAGGTTTCCTGTGTGCCAGGCACTGATTGTTTTATGTCAATGGTCACATTTAATTTTCTCTCTCTCTCTCTCTTTTTTTTTTTTTTTGCGGAACCGGGGATTGAACTCAGGCTCTTGCCAGGAAAGCGCTTATTCCACTGAGCCATCTCCCCGGCCCAGCATTTAATTTTCGCAGCAGCCCTATAAAATGTACCGGAAGCTGGATGTTGGTGACCCACGCCTGTAATCCCAGCGCTTGGGAGGTTGAGGTGGGAGGATTGGCCAGAGTTCGAGACCAGCCTGGACTACATAGGGAGATCTTGTCTCAAAATAAATGTCCTGGACACAAACTGGGAAAGCAAAACTGGGCGCGCAAGTCTTCGAGCGCCCCCTAGTGTAGGGCTCCGGAGCTACAGCAGAATCAGGAAATGGCGCACGCGCAGAATGCATAAAAGGTGTGGCGCGAGGGCTAGAGTCGGAATTTCTCTCTGCATTACAATTGGCTGATGTAGTTATCATCAGACAAAGCAGCCAATGAGAAGCGCTGCCGAGTCGCCTTTGGAACCTGAGGGCTGGACCAGCCGGGACGCTAGGAAGCGGCACTGCGACACATGCAGGTACGACTCATGAAGTGACCATGTCATTTTCTTTTTGAAAAGGACCCTGCGTAGTCCCTGCTTTCTTAGGCGGACCCTGGCGTCCTTTTCCTTCCCCGAGACCATCCTGAGGTTGGTCGCTTCATCGTAGGGTGACCCGGCACCGTCCTTCTGGGAGTCTCCCCAGAGCTGGCCTCTTCCTTAGGGACATCTGACCATAACCGCTTCTCCTGAGGGTACCCTCGTGTCAGCGCCCGGCCCTGGCCGTACCTTTGTCCTTCCCGGCATCATAGCCTCCATCTGGGGGACCTCAGTATCCTTGTCCCCCCCCCCCACACACACCCCTGTTCTGGGGCTGGAGCCCAAGGCCTTTGCACTGAGATTCCCAGATTGTAGGAGGGTTTTATTATTATTATTATTTTATTATTATTATTTTGGTGTCCTGGAGATAGAGCTGCATCCCCAGCCTTTTTTTTTTTTTTTTTTTAGATGTTTATTTTGAGATCGGATTTCACTAATTGGCCCAGGATGGTCTCCAAATTTCCAAACTGTAATCCTACTGCCTCAGCCTCCCAGTACAGGTACTACAGGGAGGGGCCACCTACCGGGGACTGAACCCACAGGCTCAGCTTTGTCTTTATGTTTCATGGACACATCATAATTGTACATTCAGTATTCATGGCCTACAGTGTAGGCAATGTGCGACTGGTTTATACAGCCCTCAAATATTGGTATTTTCTTTGTAGAAACATTCAAAATCCTCTGATTTTGGGGTTTTTTTTGTTTGTTTGTTTGCGGAACCGGGGATTGAACTCAGGCCCTTGCACTTGCCAGCGAAGCAGTTATTCCACTGAGCCATCTCCCCGGCCCCATGTTCATTTGTTTCTGAGCCAAGGTCATAGTAATGGAGGCTGGCCTTGAACTGGTGTAGCCCAGGGTGGGGTGGCCTCAAACTCATGGGAGTCTTTTTGCCTCTGCCTCATTAGTGCTGAGATTACAAGCATGTACCTCTATGCCTGGCTCATTTTATTTATTTATTTATTTTTATTTTTATTTATTTATTTTGTGGAACCAGGGATTGTTCGAGCTCAGGCCCTTGTGCTTGCCAGGCAAGCGTTTATTCTAAGCCATCTCCCCAGCCCCTTTATTTATTTATTTATTTATTTTTCCCCCCTTATTTTTCTTTTTCTTTTCTTTTTTTTTTTTTTTTTTTTTTTGTTTTGGTGGAACCAGGGCTTGAACTCAGGCCGTTGCGCTCGCCAGGGAAGCGCTCATT